TCGTGGTAGGTTATAGGAATTTCCAATGGAGAGGGAGATATTGGTAATTAAAATATCTTTTATCAGAAATTCCAGAAATGTTCAATGAATATTCGAAATAATATGAGATTATACTCGAAATAATATTAAAGATTGCCATTTTATTATTTTGTTCTTAAACAGGAGAGAAAGAGACGGAGAAAAGTGGTTGGTCCAAATTCTATTATGTCCCACTTGGAACTGCTTTTAAAAGTTTTCGTCGTCTACATAAATGATTAACTATTATGCACAAAAATATGGACGATAAATTTGATACGAAATTGGATCAAAATATTCTAATCAGATGATATCGATACTTAAGTTAAACAATAAAAGAATGATGCGCGATGACATGCAACTCGAATGACGTTTTACGGATTGCAAATGACATATCATCATATTTGACGGTTCAAGTTTGAAGATTTTTTATTCGATCGTTTGCTTAGTTTCTTTGGAATTCTTCTTCGACCACCTTTTGGTATATCCACATTCGACAACTTCATGCGCAGGGAAAAAGGAAGTTTCACCGGTCCATTATCAACGAATTTCACGCTTCGCCGATCGTCTCTGAGATTTCACTGCCTGTCGACGAAAGGAGGGTGTTTTCGGTTTCCTTTTAACGATCCGATGCACCTGAAGCCGCTTAGTTTATTTCCTTTATCAGATTTCCTAACTCGCTTCTTTCCGCTGATAAAGCTGAGCCGAGTTTGATTCCTGTCGCGAGCAAGATCGTGATCGTAATCTCTTGCCGGGTATTTTTCATGATTGAATCCAAATCTTTCATTAAATTATTTTAACTGTGTATTATACTGTGTATACGGCCAAATGATGTATTATGAGAAAAATATAATAGATGTATGTATATTGAAGAAAATGTATGAATATCGAGGAGAGAGAATTATCTCGTCACAGAAATTAATCGTATAAATGTGCAGACGGGTGAAAAGAGGCACTTAAGTACGTACTTCCGGCTGTAAGTTCATAGAATAGAAAAATGAAGTGGGAATTCAGGTACGCGTTTTCATAAAGGGGAGACTGCTGTAATGATACTAAAAAACGTTTCGCTCTTGTGAGAATATTTCAGAATATCATTCACCGTAATTCAACTCTGGATTTAAGGATTTGCAAGTAAAAGACTATGCAAAGACAAAAATAAGCGCGTTCTAAAATAACGTTTGTTTAATATTGCGAAAAATCAAGGTAAAAGCACGCCTCTGAAAATTGTGGAACGACGTTCGTTGCAAGCTGGCGATTGTCGAAAGACCGAAAATTGCATTTCACAAGTTTTCCCCTAATTGAGATGTCGAATTCCAAGCGTAGTCAAACAAATCAACGGAAAACTTATCGCAGTTTCAATATTCTGCAAAATTTTCGGACTCTGAGCTATGCTCAAAGTCAGAACATTTTACATAAGTGCTGACTCCGCTGTTAATTTCCTAGACAGCTGACTGCATCGACCGATATGATCGATGGGCGCGATGAAAGAAAGTCCATGAATACGGTGTGGCGAATTATCGAGAAACGATTTTAATACTCTAATAACATTATCCCACTAGGAATTTTATCAATCGATACTGATTGGACCATCCCAATGGTGTAACCGTGTACCTATTCGATATATCGTCTTTTTCGCACCGTAATAATGTCCTCTAATTGTTTTGATGATATTATGTCGCTGTTATATTTTAATTAAACAAAACAAGTGTAGCCGTAGCTTCATTTGCGCACAACACATTAATCAATTTTCATTTCCTGCTGTTAATCATTTTCCGAAAATTCCACGTAGTTCTCGGTATCGCGATTGCAAATTTAATTTTTAATTCGCGTAAACGCGGGAGTAAATATCTGGGCTAGGCACTTTTTCTTTCTATCAGATAAAAACGGCTAACTACGTCTTTGCTCAGGCGAGTGCTGGGATAAGTTTTCTCAGTTTGTTCCTATAACTTCATAGATTTCATAAGTAGATTACACACTCTATTTGTGATATTCTGCGATCAATAGACAGAATAAACATGACCTCGATGAGACCGGAAAATTCAGGCTATAATCTAACTGCTGAAGACAGTAAGAGTAAAGAGTTCTGTATTCTCCTTTTTCCTTGGCGAAAATTTATCGAATTCACTGGAGCACGCGGATAGAATGTGTGATAATTTATTGACATCCGGCTCCGCTGTTGCTCTGGTATAAAAACGTTATTGCCTATAATTGGTTTCGTGCTCAGTGATTTTATTTATAGATAAAATAATGTGCACAGGTTCAGTTTTTACACGTACTTTAGCTCGTACTGTCCGAAGTTAAAAGAAGAGGATTAAAATGCTGTTAGCAATATTAGCTTCAATCATGACCTATTAATGCTTGCTTAATGAAAACATTTTCCACAGTGCAGTCGCAGTTCAATTTTCTAGTTGCATAAATTAGAGATACAATAAATTTTCATGTTATATACGCAATAAAAGTTCTTTGAAGCCTTCGTTCTACCGTGCTTATGTCAATTGTGTAAAATGTTCATTGTTAAATATTTTACTTTATTTCAAAACAAAGGCATTTAGTATTATATGAACTAATTTCTAAATATTGTAAATTTCTGAATTTGTTCCAGAAAAATCTAACTTTAAAGATGTTGAAATACAATAATAAGACTGCAATAAAATTAAGAGGAGTAGCACGGCAAGCTATTTACATGGTTAAATATTTGCCAAGTATTTTTTGCGATTATTTTTCATCCGCGGAATGAAACAAACGATCGGTTTCGATAATCCGCCGTAAATACACATACATTTTGCTACGTGTGTACGTGCAAATATTAAATTTTTAGGCTACAGCATCCATGCGTGGCGCGTAATAGAAATCGTTTTTCGGTAATTCGTATGCGGAATTTGTCCGCGAGCGCGTTTGCCATGCGAGTTGCCGATTTGCATAGAACGGATATTCGCGAGCTTTCGTGCTTGGGGGCGCCGAATTTGCAAATCTCTCCACGCGCCGAACTTCAGATCCGAAAGGAGCTTTTTGCTCTGTCAATTCCACAGGTTACCTCTCGCGAGTTTCGCGGAGTTTCATAGTCGGTGTCGTTCGACGATCGATACTTGAGGGGAGACAAATGGAACATAGATGAACACGCGAGCCCGCGCGTGGAGAAAAGCTACTATACTGTTCTCTGCTCGCGGGAGCGCGAAGAAATCAGTATTCGCGGTGGCATGTTATACGACGGAATTCTGGTATCGCGTAGGAGACACGTTTATCGCCCTGAATTCTTTAAATCGTCGAGACGTCAACGTGCTCGCGTAGAATTCGTGCGATGACTGATCAGATTGTTCGCAAATATCCTAAGAATGCGAATCAAGGGTGGACTTTGCGCTAGCGTCGTGTGCGTAACAGCGCGAATGTCGACAAGAACTTTGATTAACAGGGAGATACCTGTTCGCCTCTCATCCAGGTATCAATTGTGTTCGCTTGTTACATATTGAAAAGAGCTGGCTCTATATGACTGTGTCTCGGCGGATCCGCATCAGAGCCATTATCATTGTAGATCCGCGTCAATCGTTACAGCGAGCAGCTGCGACAAGAGGGTAAATAGCAAAGTTCAAGGGGAGATCGCATCGGAGCAAGGATAAAGTACCGTTAAGGGATCTTAGTGCCTGCCCACGAGAAAAGCTGTGGGGCAGGTGAATAAAGGCGAAAGGGAGCAAATGGCGGATGGAGAAAGCCGTAGGCACGTCTATCGAGTCAATGCATGGCCAACCACTAGAAGAACAATGAGTCCTAAATACCGCCGACTCCGCCTCGACGTTGATCGTTAGTCGTCCGCGTTCCTTTCCCCCTTTCCACGACATTTTCCGCTGACAATTCTGCAGTTCGCGGCGAGATTGAGGCGGATCGCTTCTTCAACGGTACGATAGCGATTTGAGAATATTGATGCGCTGTGCACAGAAAAATGTTGCACGCACACGCGGTATATTTTAAAGAATTTCGGACATTCTCCCAGAATAAATCTAGGTCTGTCTGCGTCGGAAAGCTGACGAAGTTGAAAGAACGGCAAGAGAGTCAAGAATGATTTTGTTACAAATTGCGATAACATCAACGTTTATTCAAATAGAAGCACCGACGTTTCACTTTTACACCGGATTTTACCATATGCGGCTTCTCTTTGCCCGTCAAAGTAGTCGTACTTTCTGAGCGAGCAAACACGCGGATTTCTCGTTATTTTCGTAAGACTTATAGATATGCCTTGCAACTCTCCGCGGTGAATGTTGATTAATGCGATGCCTGCTTGAGATTTAGTAGTATTTATTTGATTCAAAGGATCCGCGAATATTTCGGTATGAGCACCGAAAGTTATCGATAGGAATCCCCTTTCTCTCGTATAATTAAACGGTGTACGATGACGAAACATCCTCTTTTGTTTCATTAGCTGTGTTAGTCATGGAATGGAATCGGGAACAGAGCGATGGAAGTTAGAGATGTGAATCGACCAATATTGCCCCAGTAACATACTTGTTCTCACTATATTACAACGATTTTATCTTGCTGCACATTTCTCTCTCTTTCTCTCTATATATTTCTAATTAAAACTTTTTTAGAAAGAGTTTCAGAGCAGTGGAGTAAATTGTACTCGGAAGTAGAGCTATTACAAACATAGCGGAAGACTTGAACTAAATCCTTTGTAAAATATTATGTCGTAATTTCCCTATAAGAATCCTTATAGGAATCCTAGCTTTATGACGATCAATTAAAAATTCTATCAAAATTGTCACTCGACATTTTTTTGTTACAATTGTAACCCAGTGAAGTTACAACGATGACTCTTGTACAGCTTTGCATGATGGAGCAGTATCTTGCATAAGAAAATTGACTTTTCAACTAGAGAGAAATGTTAAAGTGGGTAACCGGGGACGTCAAACAAATTTTGCCTATGAGTTGCGAAACGTGCACAAAAATTACGATACTCTGCGCGGTAGCAGAAGCAACGACGTATTTCGTCATACCTCGTTTCGTGGATGTGGCAGTCGGCATCGATGTGAGCTGCGACGGGATGCCGGCTCTATCAGTGGCAGTGATGGCCCACGGCCGAGTCTCGTGTCTCTTCGTGGACCTCGTCGTCGTCGTCGTCGTCTTCGGGACGAGCCACTAACCTGGTAGTCATCTCCACCACGACGACGGCCAGTCGGTCATCGTCCAACGACCAAGATACGTACGTTCTGAGGGCACAACCGGAATTTTCCGTCAAAACACAAGTGCACTAATAGCGATTAAAAAATGTAATCGGAAAGTTGAGTTATTACAAACATAGCGGGAGACTTGAGCTAGATCCTTTATAAAATATTATGTCGTAATTTTCCTATAAGAATCCTTATAGGAATCCCAGCTTTATGATGATCAATTAAAAATTCTATCGAAATTGTCACTCGAAATTTGTAATAGGGGAGAGTCCTCTGTTATGCGGCAGGTTTCTAATACGAGATAGCAGGTTTTCAATGTCAAAATTTAATCACAAATCTTTATTCACAACGATTACATGACCTAACAATGAATTTTCCACCAAACAGATTTCACTCCGAGGGCAATAAATTCATGGTGAAACCAACAGATGATGCCTATTAATTTAACAGAAACTCCGTTATCTCACATTAGGAGCTTATTCCATAATAGGGGACTTTTCTCTATTAATTTACATCATGACAGATTGCTTAACATAAACTTGCGAATCAACTGGTTATTTGTAAAACTGGCAACTCCATTTTCTTCAGAAACTGTACGTAAGTTCGTCCAAATAAGCGCGGTTGTTACTATAATATTTATATAAAAACGCGGCTATACAACTGATTATCCGTGACTATAACTTTCTTATAGACGACATGATTGAGCTATTGACTATTTACAATAGTGAAGCGATAGACTGATGTGAAAACTCGCAGATGTTACGGTGTTATAAATACAGTTTTATAGAGCAATCTCACACTTACTTAAAGTTTACTTAAGCTTAATTGCATTTTTTTACAATGAAAGATATTAGTTTTACAAGGTTTGATAGTTTTTTGAATATGCAAAAGAATCTTTTATCGCTGTAAATTTAAGTTTCTCCGGCGGCTAAAAGGCACATTTCTTTGATTAAGAATAAATTACGTGAGAGATTAATCTATTTAGTAAGTATAAAATAAATGTATTTTATTGTGTTAAACTTTGAGTTTGACGTCTACCATAGCGAAAATCATCGACGAACGTGAGAAGGTTTTTACCGCGACGGGGAACAAAAGTTTGTTTTACTAGTGCTTGAAGCGTTAAACCTTAATGACAATTTCTTGTTCGCTTATGAAGTTAGAATCAACTTTTTACTATCCGCAGAGCTAAAATAGTCGTTCACAATATGCTGGGCTCGCATCTGCTTAGAAGAACATTTTAAGCATTTTTTTAATAAAAGGAAAGAGCAGATTTTTATAATAAATATAATTCAATGCGTGTGTACTCATTTTATATTAAATATTGCCATTAAAAAAATAATATTACATTCTTTAATATCATTAAATATTATGAAATTAATATTATAATCTGTACGATTCTAATATCAAAAATTTAAATTTTATCATTTAAATATCAGCAAATAAGATAGTTTTGGTTTTAAAGGAAGTTAATAGTGCGCGAATCTTCTCTATTTTACGTTAAATACAATGTGTTACATTACTTTTAGGATTAGTAATATTCTTTGTAGTAATTTTTTCAAATGGTCGCGAAATTAAACAACATGGAATGCAAGCTGCCCTCTTTTATAAATGGATATGCGATTACCTGTTTACGTGTCAACGTGATTGTCGTTATCTCTCCTTTTTTAATTCAAAACATCAACGTGGAATACATGTCTAAAGATTTAATCCTACGGAATAGATGCGATGGCTCAGTAACCTCGAATGGTGGCACGGCAGAAATGGCATCGAAAATTTTCGTGTCGCGGCAGAAATTGCATTCCTCCCTCCTCCCGTCTGTGATCTTCTACGGCCATTTCAATTTCGCGGGTATTCCCCGTTCCGGGAGATACGATCGATTGACGCGTCATAGAAAAATAGCAGCGTGCAATTCACAAATTTTCCCGTTTGCGCCTATGCGTTCGACATTTTATGACCGCGCTATTTAAGGCGTATCTACGTCAAACTAAAATCGAGACTAAAATTCACCCGTAATTTTCGAAACGGAAATGAGAAAACAGCCTTCTGTGACGTTCTAAAATTTGGAGCTAAAATCTCAAATACAAAAAGTATTTAGATTATATTTTATCTCTTCGTGTCAACGATCCCCATCGAAAGATCAATCCTTAATCGCATGTAATGTAATAAAGATTAGCTTGTATAAGGATTTAGAGAAATTCAATCAGTGGGTTATCACTGAAAACAGTCACTAGTCACATTTCCAGTTAAAGTATTCGCTGTGTGCGTAGAGACTAGTGCTACCGCGGTTGGTGAAGTGTCGCATATTTTGCTGGAATAGCTGTCAATGATTGCTAATATTCAAGTTACGTAAACTGTCGTGAGGTATCTTGATAGTTTTAGGTCTCTTTATAATTTCGATGAAAAAATTTTCGTTATATAACAAAACATTTGCTATAGATTTTTCATTATATGTGTTAACTTCTCTAACTTTTGCAATGAGCCTTAAATTATCATACGAACGGGATTTGGACCCATTACTCATGACATTAATCCGAGTGCAATACCGAAAGGAAAAGCCTTAGCAATATCGCATGTAGTTCGCGTTGAAGAATTGCGTAGTGAAAATATAAGTCATTT